CTTATTGGCATTTTATTGAAACTTGGGAAATAAAAGTGCCATACAGTTTTAGAGTACCAGTGAGAGCCAAAGTGGAGCTCAGAGACACCATGCAAGATTTTAATGTGTTTTTAAAAACACCAGAATAAGGTAAAGTAAATAAATAAGGTTAAACTGAGTAAGCGGGCACTAAGCAGACAAGTGTCAGCTGATGCACCAGGGAAGGTCTGCATGGAGATATGGAGTCCCGCAAGTATCAAGCTGCCAACCACATTTCAAACACCCTGATATTTGTGGCAATACAACAAGATTTGGGCAGTCTATTTTTTCTTAATTTTTTTTAAAAATCTTTAAAATGTTTTTGAATGAACTTGTCTATTTTTAACTTGCGTGATTAAGGGTACACTGAAAATGCTCAAAAGTTATGCTGCCAGAATTTGGCAACAGGGCCACTGAAAAGCTCTGTATCATTGGGGGTGGGGGGTGAGGGTTAAAAAGTAATTCTGGTGGGTTTATGAGGGGAAAAGGTTTGCCTTACAAAGGCCTCTCCCTCCCATTTTCCTCTTAAAGCCACCAGAAAATGTGGTGAATTCAGTTTTTCACTCCAATTCTTCCTGTGATATCACTGCAACTTCCTGCTTCATCCAGAACTTTGGGAGGTAATTATCGTTCTTGGACACTCAAACGTTGCCTGTCCCTGTACCATCATAGTTCTCCATCTTGGGATGACTATTAAGATGCTAAAAATGCCCATATTTAGATCCCTAATTCCTTGCTCTTTATAGTTTTGATAATTTCCAGGGATGAGGAAACAGCTCATAAATGCAGTGTACATAGGTCCAAAAGAACCCCCTGCCTACCAACACTTCACGATGTTCTTTACTCTTCTCATTTCTTTCGGTATCATAAATGGACACGCTCAACTTGCTAGCAATCTCTTCCTCTTCTCGAATCCTCAGAATGTCCAGGACCTTTGATGGGATAGAGATATCACAGGTAGAATCATAGAACATTGGCCATGGAAGGCACCCCAAGGACCATCTCATTCAACCTTTCGAATGGTCACTCATGCCCTTGTTATCTCCCATATAGACTACTGCAATGCACTCTATATGGGGCAACCCTTGAAGAGTATCTGGAAGCTACAGCTGCTCCAGAATGCAGCCGCGCAGGCTATTTTTGGAGCCCCAAGAAGGGCCCACGTAACACCATTGCTCCACAGGCTGCACTGGGTACCAGTTTGCTTCTGGATCCAATTCAAGGTGTTGGTTATCACCTTTAAAGCCCTACATGGCAAGGGACCAAGTTACCTGAGGGACCACCTCTTCCCCATGACTTCAACCCATCCCACCCAATCACACAGAGAGGGCATGCTTCAGACCCCCTCGGTAAAAGAGCTCCGATTAGTGGGGTCCAGAAGGTGGGCCTTCCCTGCGGTAGCCCCCGCCCTTTGGAATATCTTGCCCCTGGAGGTGTGATTGGCCCCCTCACTCCTGGCCTTCCGGAGGGATTTGAAGACCTGGCTCTGCCTCTTGGCCCGGGGTGGGGAGGGAAGACGTCAAGTGTGGGGCTGGCTAGCCCCTTAGAGGCCTGTTGTCTGCAGCTCTGGAAACTATCAGCCTCTTGGATTTTCTTTTCTTTTGGTAATGCTTTGTATAGTTTTCATGTTTTTTGTAATTTTATATATATTTGTTGTTTTAAGGGATCATGTGAGCTGCCCAGAGTCCCCCATTAGGGGGAGATGGGTGGAGATAAATCTAATAAATAAATAAATAAACCTTCTGCAGGTGCAGGAAAACCAATTAAAACATCCTGGTGGCTTCTAGCCTCCTCTTCAAAACCTGGTGAGGAGAACTCACAACATTCACAGAGAGACAGTAGATGATCCTTTACCTATGGTAAGTCCATGGACAGTTCAAGCCTTAACCTAGACAGGGCCTAACTACATGTTATACTCAGCAATCATTTCAAACATTTTAAAGCTAAAGAAATGTGTAGAGGACATTATTCTCAGGGACCAGTAGAAAGAGAGGTTCCACCTTTCCTCCAGAGTGCCAATATTAAAATCCGCTCCATCCTCACAGCGACTAGCATAGACAAAATAAGCTTACATTGGTAATTAGGAACTTTTTTCCACTAGCCATAACAGTTATAGTGCAGTGTTGTTCATGGGAGCAGCTGGATAGAACTTTCCTTCCGTTCATCCTGTGATTTTGATAAAAGCTATAATAGAACCCACACTGTCTCTTTGAAATGAACAAAAACATAATGGGCAGCATTACATTTAGGACCCTGTTTTGAAAACATTATGCCCTGTGAAACTAAATGTCCACCTGCAGTCTTTAACAGTCTTCCCCTGTGTGTTAGCCTCCATCCGCACTGGAATAAGACACCCATTATGTTAGCCGAAAATGACGCAAACTTTAACACATCTGGAATGCAAACGGTCAGGAAAGTTTTATCTCATTTTTGTTGTTTTGTTCAACTCTTTCAGAAAATGTGATTTTGGAACTACACAAATTATGCCACAATATTATAAATTGGAGGTGGGGGGAGGCATGGGATTGGAAAGCAATCAAATGATGAGAAGAAGTTCATGATTACAGACTCCCTCTTGGGGAAACAGGAACAGAGATTAAGGGCTAATGAAGAGAGAGGCATGAAGCAATGCAGAAGTTATTTCTCAGCGGTTCCTTCATTGAAACAATAACAAAAGAAGAACCTAGGAAGGTTTTAACCAATGTGCAGAAGGTTCAGAAATACATTTTAGAGGAGAGTGTCGGCTATGCAAGGCACAGCTAGGTAGTCAATTATTAGGAGAAATTTCATTTACTTATTTAAAAGATACGTATGGCTGCTCATCTTAGAGCACAGCTCTGAGTGGCTCACCACAATAATAAAACTACAAACCATAAATACGATTAAACCATCAAAAACAAAAACTAAAAACCAAGAACTAAAACAAATCCATCCTTCATGATGGAAAGAAGCAGTGGAACCATCTGCCTAAAACAGTGGTAGGTCTACCCTGATTGACTGATTTTGTGCCATCAAGTTGTTGTCGACTCCTAGCGACTACACAGATGGGGGCTGGATGCCATTGGCCAGGGGGGAATGTTTATGGGAATCCTTCCAACTAATCACAGAGAAGTAATTCTCCTCTGCCAAATAATGTTGAAGAATCCTAGTATGGAAGCAGTCACAGATTAAAAGGCTTGAGAGATTTAGAAGTTGTCCAAACTATTATGAGGACAGATGTTTGCCACAAAACAAAACCAAGACTCCCTCAAGTTGAGCTTGACTTTGGATGACTTCATGGACACACGTGGGTAGTTTTCTTGGCAACAATTGCCTTCTTTTGAGGTTTTTTTTTTTCTTTTAGCTTCCTAGTCTAGCGTATAGCCCTGAGATCTGACTTTGCTTGGTTTTTTGAGATCAGCCAAAGTCAAATATATAATATGGATGCAGATCCTTACTGCTTAAAAAATTATGCCATGGCAAGAATTCAAGTAGGAGGTAGTTCTGAAGAACCTATGGAACAACCTTTTTTTTTCTTATATATATTTTTCAAATAACTTTATTAGATTTTTTAAAAAAAGAGATAAAAACTAACAAGAACTAATAATTAAGATAGAAAGTAGAGAAGAGAAAAAGATAAAGAATGAAAAAAAACAAGATGAAAAATGCAGAAAGAAAAGAAAGGAAAACAAATACAAAAGAAAAATGACTTCCGATTTTCTTTTACAACAGAAGTAAGTATAAATTTGCTTTAGGCTCTAAATTTACAACATAACTTTCATTTTTTCTGTTGTCTACTATTACTTTTAATCATCAGATCTACAGTACTGTGCAAAAGTTTTAGGCAGGTATAAAAAAATGCTGTAAAGTAAGAATGCTTT